ATTAAGAAAAAACCGTATAAACCGGTTTTATTTTACATAGCTTTTATATAGTGAAAATGCTTATGTGGGTATGAAGTCATGACTAAAAATTACAATAAGACTATCAACAGTAAAGATAGCTTTTATTTAGAAAAAAGAAAATTATAATAAGTTTAAAATATTTTTTTTAGGTTAAAAGTAAAACAAATAAAAATCAGTGAAAAATTCACGTTTGGTCCTATTTTAACTTTTTTTTTAATACTTTATTGCAACTTTCTGACTTTTCTCAGGTTTGAATAGTGCCGAGTGCTTAGATGTGTCAAGATTTCTATGAAATGGAAAAAACTGATTTGTTCGATAAAAAAATCCGGGTTATTCGATACTCGAAAAAACAAGATTTCAAAAAACCGCCTGTAGATATAAAAAAAAATGGTTGAAACCGGTTTGGAAAAATCAAGTCAATCACCCTACCATTTACCCTTTTCCATAAATACCCCAAGTTACTTTGTTCTCCTTAAAAGCTTTCGGTAGGTCTATATAATCCGAATGGTTTTACTTAAGGAGGGATGACATTATTCGTAAATTTGTACAGATTTGTACATTTTCACCGTTACAGAGTGATGTTTTTTGGAAAGTTGTTATTGAGCTGAACATATTTTTGATAAAAATGTCTGGACAAAACCACCGTGTGACTGCCAAATATACAAATGTACAAATCGTGTTATCCCTGCTTTAAAGTTTTACATATATAGAAGAAATACTCAACCACTGGCACTGCGAGGGTAACCGAGCCAAGGTTTGCTTTATACTTTGTCGTATACATATTGCTCATGAACAACTTCTTGAAGGCTTAGATGCTCATTGGAAGAGCTGCACTTATACCGGCTAAAAGCTTAAACAGACGGCAGCGTTGATCCGGATTAACTCGGAGTTAGTCCGGATCAACTGCAGTTAACTCCCTAGTTGATCCGGATCAATGCTGCCGTCTGTTTATGCTTTAAGATTATACTGTCTACCTAATAGAAGTGCATTTTGTCGAGTGAGCTTAAGTGGGAAATCTGTACAAAACGCAATCAAAGTTTGAAAAATATTCATAATTTGGCTTTAGAATACAAAGCTTTTTTTTTGGAATTACTAGCTGCTGTAGATTCGATAAAATTGCTTTATACCAACAGCTTAAGCAAACACGGAAACTCACTCAACTAAAACAAAGTAGTTGGGCAGACATAAAACGACAGAGTTTGATACAATTTGGATTGATAAAATTGTGCCATAGAAAGTAATGACATATGTACAAACTTACTAGTGCACACACACACATATATATGTACATTAGGGTGATGCTTAAAAATCAAATGGACGATTTTTTTCAGTCTCATCCCCTCAATCGGTAATACCACAGTCATAGATATCACGTATAATTTTTGGTCCCAATTTGAGACCACTGAGGCGTGTCGCAAAGGGGCCAAATGTGAGATGTCTCTATGGAGACTCAAAAAATTAAATTTTTTTTTTTCATTTAATACTGAAAATCGATACTACTTTAGTCGAAGATATCACATATGAATAGATGAAAAAAATAATAATTTTAATTTTTTGAGTTTCTATAGACACGCCGTAACGGCCTCCAATTGGGACCAAAATTTATATGTGATGTCTATGACCCTGGTATTACTGATTGAGGCGGTGAGACTGAAAAAAATCGTTCATTTGGGTTTTAAGGACCACCCTAATGTACATATGTACGCGATATCAAAGAGGAACCTCTGCGTCTACATACTCATACAATAGGCAGCAAATAAACGAAATGCCACCATTTATGCTCCAATGACTCGAAAGCTTTGTAGCAAATTCATTATTACTCTCTCACACTCTCACTCTCACGTTTTCTCCTCTTCACCGTTACCGGATGTGAATGGCGGCAAAGCTTTTACCGATGCCTACCGACGAAACTAGAGCAACGTCAGCATGAAACGAGTCTTTACTTTTATGAGTTCTTGAGCCAGCTGCTTACAACTCTCGCCTCGTACGAATATATACATTCATGCGTATGTGTATATTGCCAAACATACAACAGTTATGGAGTTATGTACTATAAGGATACAGCATCCTGACGATTGTGTGAATGACATCAATTCATTCAAATCAGTTTCATTTCGTTGGTGCCAGCGCGTAGTTTGGTAAACGGACGGGCAAACGGTTAAAACGGTTGTGCAACTGAACGATTTTAAGTGGTCCGTCGGTTTTGTACATACATACATTTATACATATGTATGTACATATGTATGTGTTTAAAAAGTGTATGTGCGCGCTTGTTTACTTTGAAAGCAAGTGAAGGAAAGAAAGAAAGTGAAATTAGTGAAAGAGTGTAAAATTATGTAAATAATATTAAAAGCCATCGACCTTATATCTCTAAAAAAATATGTGTAAAAGGAACACTTGCAGCAGCGCCAATACCTTCATTCATACATACATACATATATGGATGATGTGCTTTTAAGAGTAGTGTTATCATCAGCTGTTCATATAACGGTTTAAAATCCATACATACATGTTAGAACAAATTGAGTTTCGCTGGTACCTTTGTGAGTTTGCTGTGACTTTATCAGTATATATATGAACACACATGTGTACATATGCTGTATACATAAGTACGTATGTACATACCGAAATCTGAAATAAAACTTTTTTGTAATAAAATTTAACGCACTCAAAATTAAATTGTGTACTAAATATATTAGAGTAAAAAAAAAATTAAAAAAACTGGCTGAAGCTGGGAGGGTTGTCAAATAGGTTTGTGATTTTTCTTTGCAATCTTTTAATTTACATTTCTTTAAAAATGAGTTTGAGAGAATAAGATTAAGATTAAATTTTGATTAAGATAAAGATAAAGATTAAGGTTAAGAAAAATGTTAAGATTAAGCTCAAGATTAAGAATAATGTTAAGTTTAAGATTAAGCTTAAGATTAATATTATGATTAAGATTAAGGCTAAGGTTAAGATTAAGGATACGATTAGGATTAAGATAATTGTTCATTACTACACAGAAAAATATTCATTTAATGTGGGACACTATACGGATAATAGGAAGAAGTTTCAACTCATGCTCCTAAGGCATGTAGAAGCTTTTCTGCACCAAAAAAAATATTTTGAAAAAAATGTTTATTATATTTGTTTGGTGGTTAGGGCTCGATATGTTTTTGGTTTATTTATATATAATCTGTTCTGCTCCCTGCTTTAAAAGCTTATGCTTGAGTTCTTTAGTTTTTGTTTTCACGGAGAGTTTACCGTAAGAATCAGTTATTGAGTATCGTTTCGAAATTGACTGCCTAATTATGGATAGGATGCATGTCGAAGTCGAGTGATCTGAAATGAAAATTTCATCGAATTAATTGTCATATAATTCAAGCACTGAAAATAAGGAGATGCGAGTTTTAGACCGTGTGACCAGTGTTGCCAGATTTTTTTTTCAAAAAAACTGCGAATTCAAAAAAAAAAAACGGCAAACCTCAAACACGGTTTTTAACCGTATGATTCGAATGCAGATGACCCCTCTTCTAAATCGCAGAACTTCGCCAAACTTAAGTCTGACAGATCCTTGAAAAATGCTGGGGAATTTTCCACCTTTTCGGTTTTCCGTCGTGCCTACAGCTGCGATAATATTAATACATTTAAATCTCGATTAACTGATGGCCAGTGAGTACTCTAAGTTGAGGGCGTTTTACGAGATGAAACGTTATGGTCTAGCTAGTCTACATTTTGATCCTTCCTCCTCTTTGATAATCCCTCATCGTAGCAGGTTTTTACGGCCGAAAGGGATGTGCCTACCCTTGTCACACTACTTAGTTGTATACAGTATATTTTGCTTAGCTGCCCATCCTTCTTTGCACGAAAAACTTGTGCACTTAACCGAAAAAAGCACTTAAGCGAATTTTCTTTACTACTTCAATGAGGAAGGTATCCGAATCCCTATGAAACCAATTAATGGAGGAGCACTTACCACGTAGAAATTACTGCAAGCGAAATTTTTACCGAGTGGTATCTAATTATCTATATAACTACATTAATTTATAGCCATTTTCGTTGTTCTGTGAGATGAGCAAAATAAATAAAAGCTTGTAAAATTAGGTAATAGTAGGGCCAGTGCAGGTAAACCTAATACTTTCTTTGGTAGCTAATAATAGTTGCACAATTTTTAAGGCAGGTATCGCCAATGTGCAGGTATTTTGGATGCACCTATCGGAGGAGTTTCCTTATAAATGTTAAAAATAATGCCGCTAAAGCGCATTTTAGGGTAGGTATCTTAAATGTGCACTTAAGCATAAAGGCAGCAAAGCAAAATATACTGTATTTGCCTTACAGACCACTAGGAATATTTCTACATTCGAGTTTTTTCGGTTCTTGAAATGATTATGCAACACATCAGAGCTTTTAACTATGGCGGCCTGACAATCTGAGAAAATAACAACCGTCCACATATAAAGAATTTGGAAGAAGCGATTTATGTAGAACACTTGAGAAAAATGGATGGAAGGACTTGAGGTGGTCTGAACTTATAAGAGTACTACCTTGTTATACAAATCTGACCGAAATGGTTCTAATCTAGGATCAATGTGAATACAACTCCTTGAGATATGAATATACATTTTCAATAACAGCCAGGATAGCTAATCCAGTTCCTGAACAAAACGTTGCAGGTTTCCAAAGGAGTTGCGAAACTCTAGCCCAAATAGATATACATAAGCGTCCAAAGTACAAAGTTTACTCTGTTTATGCATAACGCAATCAATTTATGTAACTCGAGCTAAGGCCGGAAAGAAGCTGAAACCTTTCATCTTCTTGAAGACGGGGTGTGCAATCAGGGTTGCAAGCATATGTATATATGACGGTCACACTTATGAGTTTCTCCTACAAAAAGTGAAAATGCAACAACCTCACAAGTTTTCTGCGGTACCAACTGAAATTAAAGGCAACATGGGTATACGCATAAACCACCTCAGATGCCGATAGCCCGGAATTCAATGCGTGAAATACTCATATTCACCAAAAAATTGATGGTGATCTCGATGGTCGTACAACAAGTGGGAACCTTTCCAAGCATCTTACAGGCGGAATTCTATGCCATTAGTCTGTGCGCTGAGATCAATCTTCGCAGGAATTACCTAAGTGAGAAGGTCCTAATGTGATGCGATCAAATCCTCAGTGGTCTTAGTGGCTGAAAATAGTGCTATCGAATAACTATAGGTACGAGGGCACATGGGAGTCAATGGAAATGACTGCTGCCTTGACCGCGATAGGACCTAAGCACTTCCTTTCAATGGGTCTCAACATGGTAAAGGAAACGTTCAGTCTGAAAAGTTGCTAGCTACTCATGGGTCTCCCTAAGGAGAAACTAAGAATAATTAAGTACATGATGGATCTACACGACAATAGTACGACCCATGATAGCTTATGGAGCCATCGTTTGGGCCGATAGAACTCCACAACTTGGAGCAATCAAAATGCTCTCCAAGATACAAAGGCTGGGATGCGTATGCATAACGGGAGCCATGAGAACCTGTCCAACCGCATCCTTGGAGGTTCTTTTATATCTCACCCCTCTTCATATTCACATACAGACTCAGACGAAAAGAGCTTTACTACGGATGACTGGTACCAATATCGGGGCAGCAGGGTGTCTTAGTCGTGGGAAGTTGGATATTCTTACGAATAAGTTCCCTAAAATTTCAATACCAAGGGATGCCTCCGAGGTTCAGCTTTACAAAGAGACTGATCTGAGTAATAAGAAGAGCTAGGCAGGCATATCCGAGACATATCGGATAAACCAAAACATGATTGCCTGGTACACTGATGGCTCATTGACCGACGAGGGTACCGGACTAGGGGTAGTTGGACCGCGGTTAAGATACTCGGAACCCATGGGAAAACATATGTCTATTTTCCAGGCTGAAACATACGCCATAGAAAGAGGCACGGACTTTAATATCAAGCGAAACTACCGGAATCAGAACATCGCGATCTTGACTGACAGCCAAACGGCTATCAAGGCCCTCAGATCTCACCAGGTAACATCTAAACTGGTGATGGCGTGCCTCGACAAGCTGAATACTCTTGGTCTGTTCAATCAGGTTTGGGTTCTCTAGATTCCGGGACATATTGGTATTAAAGGAAACTCTTGGTCTGACCAATCAGGTTTGGGTTCTCTGGATTCCGGGACATATTGGTATTAAAGGAAACGAGATTGCCGATAAACAAGCGAAGAAAGGTGCATCAACTCCTTTGACCGGCCCAGAACCTTTCTACGGCTTAGGAAAAGGGGCACTCTCTGAACTAGTTTGGCTGGAGGAAGAGTCTCAGAGGAATCGCTACTGGGATAATCTACCAGGTCTAGAGCAGTTCAAAGCACTTTTAGGAGCATATAACCTATAACGCTTCAAGGAATGTATGAGCTTATCAAAGAATAACTTAAGAATTGTTACAGGAATCTTAACAGGACACTGCAGGCCAGGGTACGAAAATAAACTATATTGTACGTTACTATTTCGTTTCGTTTATTACTTCAACAGTTCGGTACAATACGAAAACAAAACGGCTGAGTTCACTTTGTGATGGTACACTACAGTAGTTTAGTAGTTACAGACGAAACAACAAACGAAATGAATCGTGCAGAGAAAAATATTTGTATGTATGTAGTACATGTTTTTTAATTGAATTGGATATGAAAATTGACGGAAAAAAATATTTTTCACGTAATTGAAACGTTTGCATACATATAAAACGTACCCTATGGTACAATTGTCACAAACGAAAAGCAAACGTTTCTCGTTGGGGAAAATGACAGTGAATCTTACAATTTGTTTCTGACTATGTACAAAACTGTACAAAACCATAAATGATATGATGATCGATGAGCAAATGGGAATTGTTTTGTACAGTTTATTTTCGTACCCTGCTGCAGGCTGAACTATCCCTTGACTAAACTGGGAATTTAAACGCTTGAGCGATGCAGATTTTGCAGGATGGAAAACAAGACTGCACAGCACATCATAGAAGAATGTTCTGCACTGATGCATACACGCAAAAGGCACCTGGGTGAACATCTGATAACCAAAGGCAAAGTGAAATCCGTAGATTTAATTTCCATTCTAAAGTTTCACTCGGATACTGGATTCATAGACACACTATAATCCATGAAGGGGGCACAATAGATCTTAAGGTCGCAGTGCTCTATCCCCAATAATAATAATAATAATACATGCTCTTTAACGGGCCATTTTAGGCCAAAAGGTCACTTGTATAATCGAGGAACCTGGTCAAGCGACCTCTATTGCTTCTTTTACTCAACCAAGGAGACACCATTACAACTTCTTCTAAGGTGTGAGGTCGTTTACGTAGAAGGGAGTGGTATGATAAAGAGAGGAGCACATACACTCCCTACTCCCGATATCGATTGTGAAATTTATAGAGCTCCTAGATAGATGCTTTATCTATCTGTCTAAAGACTCTCTAGTTAAGTCTATTAAAATCAGAAATCTTACAAAACTCATGGCCCATGATCAGATATCGAATACATCTGATGCCCAGATATTTATTTGTCCAGCACAAACAACACGGAGCCTCAATGTGTCCCTTTTATAATGACTTAGGCTAGGCTAAGCTAAGCTTAATATTCCATCGATCCCAATATATCTTATTTTTAGGGAAGCTTTTATTTTTTTCACTTATAAATATTGATTTTCGCAGGACCCCTATAAAAAAAAAGAAGTTTACCAACTGTGATTTGGCAGATTAATGTAAATCTCACCGAGAAATAAAATGACATTGATTTTCAAGTTCCTAAAACTTTTCTGCGCATTTGATCGATGTTTTGCTAAAAGTTTGAAAACATTTTAATTGAAAATAACAAGAAAAAAAAATAGCGATGTGATTCAATATAGCTGCAGTCAACAGCGAAAGCAATCAACGTAACAATGCAAAATTTTGCAAAATCTGCCAAAGTTTAAGCTGTGAAAACCGCCAGCGAAAAACGCCAACAGAAATTAACTATTTAAAGTTCCCAACACGAGTAGCGTATCAGCTTTCAATTTGATGTAAAATACGTCGTAATTTGTCTGCTAAGCGTCGAAAAGTTCTTGTGCTACTGCTGCTGGCGACGCTAAAGCTAATTGCAACGGCTATGATGCATGCAACACGAGCGCTTGTTGTTTCGCAGTGAATAATCGGGGAAGTGAAAGCGAGTGGCGTAAAGTGAAGTGTTTTTTTTAGTGCGCGTTTGCAAGCTTCGCGCGAAAGCTGAGGCTTTTTAGTAGCACCAAAAAATTAAGCAGCAGCAAATAGCCAAATCCTGCAAAAGTTTGATTGGCTAAATTTGTCGTCAAAATTAAGGGAAATCAATATAAAAGTAAGGTGCTGAGAAAATTTAATTATGGTGAAAATGCAAATAAAATTTGTAAAAACTTAAAAAAATATAGTGCTAAAATAAAGATTTAATTTAAATATCAAAATGAATTAAAAATTTAAATCACAATTAAAGAGGATTAACGAAATTTGTAAAGCAATAAAGCAAAAGTAAAAATACCAGGGTAAGCGCAAAGAAGGCTTCAGCTTACACCTTCGACCACAACAGCACGCTATACGACCACCCAAGCGCTTGCCAAACTGGATTACAACACAGATAATAACGGACCATGGGAGAAGAATCCTGCTGTCGCCGTGAGTGCTGCTGGCAGCACCGGCGGCAGTATTGGAGGCATTGGCGGCGGCGCAAGTGGCCCTGGGTCGGGCACAATGACGGCAGTGACAAGTGGCGCCAATGCGCTTGGCATTACAACAACCACCACAGCAACAGCCACACCAATAGCCACCACTGTCGGTGCTGGCATTAAGCCACTGCAACAGCAGTTACAACAACAATTGCTGCAACAGCTGCAACAAAGGCATATGCAACAACAACATCAACAACATTTACAGAGCGCAGTCAGCGCTGGCGCTGGCAGTGTCGTCTCAGTTGGTGGCACCAATAATTCTGCCGCTGGCGGCCATTCGCATTTGCATGCCACCCACTCACATCCGCATCAACATACACACGCCCATACACACGGGCATGCACATCAGCATGTACACCATCAAGCAGCTACTGTTGCACTATTGCAGCAACAGCAAAAACAATTGCAACATCAACACTCGCATCCGCCATTGGCGCCACATTCACATCCACCGCTACAGCATCATGTTTCACTTGGCGGTGCTGGTAGTCATCGCTATCAGACGATGATGGCCGCTGTAGCACAACAACAACAACAACAACAGCAGCAGCAGCAGCTGCAGCACCAGCAACAACAACAAGCAATGCAACAACAGCAGCAGCAAGCAATGCAACACCAGCAGCAGCAGCAGCACCATCATCATCGCCAACACTCTACACCGCAACATCATCGCTCTGCATCACAACACTCTGCCGCCACTTTAAGGCGTCGCACACTCTCTCATGTTTCACGTTCTTATTCAGCATCAGCAGCCGCAGCGGCCGCCGCAGCAGCAGCTGCTTCCTCCAATGCAAATGCAAAGAACACTAGTGGCGTGGGCGGTGGTGGTGGTGGCGGCGGCAGCAGCAGCATACATGTCAGCACCAGCGTGGAGCGATCGCGTTGTCGATCACCGATGATGTTATGCCACAGTCACAGCGATGGCGAGTTTCCCATGTATAAAGGTAAGCGGCTCTAAAGTTTAGCGTACACTGAGCGTTTATAGCCGGCCTGATGTCAAAACACTTAGATGGTTCACAGGGTGCCGTAAGTGTCTTACTGTCATATTTGTGAAGTTTTTAACGGCTAAATAAATAAATGTTTACAGAACTTCAAACCACAACCAACTATTTTTTTTTAAATTTCATAAAATCACTATTTTGGTAACCTGCGAATCCCTTAAATATAGTTTTAGCTGTTTAAAGTTTACGACATACAACAATACGACAGTATAAAACACCTTGCGAACTCCCTACCTGTTTGCTGGCTCTCCTAGCACTTTTTAGCTCAGCTCTTAGGTCAGCTATAAGCTCTCTGTGCGCTGTAATTTTCTCGCAGGTCTCAACTGTGACAGGTTTCACTGTATATTCTATTTCGCTAGTTACGCATATAACAGTTATACTTTTATCCCTTGGATGCTGTTACATTTGTTTCATATATTTATGTCGTTTAACTTGATTGTTGTTAGTTATCAAGATAAGATATAACAGAATAAGTAACACTGCGAACTAAAAAGTGGTATCACAATGTGTTACCCCGAATGTCCAAAATATTTTAAGCTTTCCTTACAAATATTTGGTAAATACTTGCACATCTTCTTCCTCTTCTTCTTCTTATTTGGCGCTAAAACCGCCAAAGCGATTTTGGCCGAATTCAACAAAGCACGCCAGTAGATTCTTTTGCTTGGTCGCCATCTACCAACGCGAGCATGATGAGTGACTTATATAGAGTGTGTACGTCGATAAAGGACTTGAATCCTTAATTGCCTGCTCAGTGCAAAGTAGCTCTTGTTGGCAAGAGTGATTCTGCGTTGAAAATATTGTCCAAGCTTTCATCAATCCTATGTAAATCAAAGTTTCAGACTGTATAAAAAATTTAGGAAAACTCAAAAAAACTTTCATAAAAATTTCACACGTTTTATTCTGAATCTTTAGAATAGATTGTTCCTAACGTTCTTTCGCATTTTATTAAATGAAAATTAATGCTTTTATGGAAAAAAGCGGAAAAATCCAATAGCAAAAAAAATTTAAGTTTGAAACTTTTATTTACATACCGTATATGGTTTTGGTTGAAGAATGGAAAACATTTTTATAAAAAAAAGTAAGTGCGCCTGGGCGACACTGGAGAAGTAAAACTTGTTAATTGTAATTACATTTATGTTACTCTGTTTCCTTTATCTGTATACTCTATCGATAACAAAATCGATAGTAACATCCATCAAAACATCGATAACAAAACCGATAACGAAAGCGATAAAAATATCAGTTTTTATATCGAAAAATTCCGATAAAACCGAAAATGTGTAAAATCCCGAAATCGGTCCCAGATTGAGTCTCTGTGTATCTATCTACACATATCATTTCTTTATACTTACCTTTGTATTAGAATTTCTTCTCCTATCTTCATCCTTACTTTTATCGGTATCCTCCTCCCCATCTTTTCTAATATTTATCTTTATTTTAACCCTTATGTTTATTAGTTTCTTCATCTACACCTTCACCTGCGCCCTTACATAAGTAAAGTGTTTAAATTTAACTAGGTCTTCATTTTTGCCTTTATCTTTACGCATTTCTGGTTTTATGTTTACTTTTGTTTTTATCCTTTTCTTTATTTATATACGTACTCATTCTTGTATTTGTCTTTATCTAAGTCTTTTTTTTTACATTTTTTAGCACGTTTTTTGTTAAATGAATACCGTGTAAATATATTTAAGATGCACTTATTTCCCTCCCAACCATTTCCGTGTGCCATTTCCGTTGAATTTACCTCTTTGCTCCCAATCAACCAACCGCCGTTAAAGAAGTTTCACTTCAAAAACAGTTTGAAAAACATTGTGAATATTAAAAAAATCAACACGTGGTCACTTGTTTGAGTCACTGTAACTACCTGAGATAAAGCTTTTAAATTTTTTTGAAGGATTGGCAGCACCTCCTTGCAGGATCGCCATCGAGCATTGCTTGACGGGCGTAAAGCGTTTTATTATAGCATTATATTGTTGTAATTGATGAATAATGATACCCGCGCGGTAGTTGAAGAGATAAAAAAAACAACATGAGCGAGCGACGCAGGGCGTAATTCAGTTAACTAATACCAAACCAAGCATGATGAATGAACGCTATGCAAGTGCATCTGCACTTGTAATGAACCAGTGCAATAAACTCTCACGCACACAACACATTCGCCTACGCACGAGTATTTTCATGCCACATGCAAAGTGATAGTCATAAATATTCTGTAATACATAATTCAATTGAAAATGTTGCAATGTTTTAGCTGTAACAGTAAATGACATCATGCAAATGGCATGAAGTAACGGCAATTGAAGTGGCAATGACTTGCTGTATCCTCCCACAGTGATTTATTTGATTTTTGCCATACATATATATTTGTATGTACATAAGCGTTATGTGAATATCTTTGTGTATGTACATACTGGGTCATATGAAAAGTCTCTGTGAATTTTTTTCACTATATGGTTTTGGCACCCATACATTTGGCAACTCTATCCAATTGCGTCAAACTGACGTGCGTTCGAAAGGTGGCATTTGAGGCTACAATTTGTGAGAACAGTTCTATAATTCGTAGCTGGTGCAAAAAGTTATATTGATTTGAAAATGCGTAAAATATCTGCAGTAAACGCGGTTGCGGAAATTTTGATGTCAAAGATGCACCTCGCTGTATGTAGTCTGTATGCAAACGATTGAGTAAGCTGTCAAGCGAGGCATTCAACATCAACCACATAACAGTTAGGAACTATATAAAAAGAGCAGATTACTCCAAGAAGCTTAACGTTTGGGTACTGAGACGCAACAAAATCGAACCATTCCGGACAGTGAAAAATGGTTTGAGTAAGGAAATATGCAACACAAGCTATCATGGTTTAAGGTAAGTGAACAACGTGGCGAAACGATCAACTTGGTCTTCTACTAAGCGAAACTCGACCGTTGGAATGAAAAAAATCAACAAACAGCGACCAGAAAAAGAGCTGTGTTCCATCATGACAATGACGCATACATCTTTCATAGCTGGGAACTAATTTTCCGAATTTGGTTGGGAAGTTTAAATGCATCTACTGCATAGTCCATCGTCTGACTTCCACTTATTTCGGCATCTGCAAAACTTTCTGATATGGTAAAGAACTGGTCGACCCAAAAGCCATTGTAAATCACTTGGCCAAGCTTTTGGCCGATAAACCACAGAAATTCTACACCGATGGAGTTATGAAGCTACTCAAAAAATGGCAAAAGGTATTAGATAATAATGTCTTATTTGAAATTTATTAAATTGGTGTTCAACAAAGACTTTTTTTGTTTAATTTACCAAAAGATCTGCCAAGACCCTTTAAATGGCCCAATATATATTTGTCACATCGATACATGCGTACATGTAGATGAGCTTTTCAAATATTTGTCCTGGAAAAAATATCGTTAATATTACGCATATTCATCTTGGCTGGCGTATATTTATTTTTAATATATACATACATACATATCGTCGTTTGAAGTACAAAACCGCGTATGCGGAGAGTAAAAATACTCATATTTCAAAGTGGTTCTCTTTTTTATTAAGCAATCGCATTTCTGGCTGGTATATTTCAGGACGTATGGTTAAGGATTGAGCCAAGAGCTCGCGTGAGCAAATCCAATTTTTGGCAGCAAATGTCAGTTACGCGGTTTTGCACTTTAAACGACGATATAAATATACGTGTATGTATACATACACAAATGTGGGACATTCCAGCCCGATTCGGCTTCCCTGGTTTAAATAATTTTTTTTTAACGATTTTGGAAAAAAGGTTCCTGTTTTTAAATGCCTCTGCAAAAAATTAGCCACCGTTGTTTTTTTGTAGAATTTTTCATTTTCAAAACAAATTTTTTTACCTTGTTTATACCTACGAAAAAACCTTTCTTCTTCTAACGTTTATTCCACAGTCTTTATAGCGCACTCGATAAAACCGTATTGAAAAGTAAAAAAAACTCCGTTAGTTTTATTCGACATTTATTTAATAATAAATTTGCGTGGTGGACCGAAATGGAAGCCAACAGTAATACGAATTTATTATAATAATAAATACAATTAAAACCGGGCTGTATAAAGAAAAAAACAGACAATTTTGATTTCACGTTAAATGAATTAATTTTTTATACGGGCTTTCTAACCGATGTGAGAAATAAAAAACCGATTTGAAAACAAATTCGAGTCAATACACTTTTTGATTTCAACGCGTATTGAAATTTGGTTTATGCATCTGTTTTGAATTACACCGAACTGAGTCACAGCGGTTTATGTGTCGGAATAAATAAGGTAATAAAAACGACACAATTTTTTAAGCCATATTTCTATAAAATTTTCAAATCTTATTGTAAAATATTGATTTTCATACTGACCGATTTTCTCGAAATATTTTTTTTATTTAAACTGTTCCTCATTCCGCAGCTTTTAAGCCTTGACCGATAATGGAATAACAATGGGATCTATTTTTTTCGAATTTCGAAATTAATGAAAAACTAACAAGTTTTGTCCAGCTCAAGGCCAAAAACTCTGACAGCGCCAAATCAAATGCATTAAAGATAATAAAAATACTACATTGTAGATAAATAAATTCCCTACATAACTGCGGTGGGAAGTACTAAGCGGCGACTTATCACTTTTGCGTAAGCGATTGGTAAATTCAATGATTTTTTTATGTATAAAATATGAGCAAGAAATAATGTTACTCATACGCCATGTACGAGTGTTTTATCAAACTTTTGGAATAACGATAAAAATTGATTACGCGAAAGTGAAATTTCATAGAAATACGGTTATGGTTACGGTACGTTACCTAGGTTTTTTTTTAATAAAAGTGTCCTTTATAGATTTTGCGCAATGTGGCTGCCTCATTAGCTCTCAGGGGACTAATTCGCGTACAGATTTACATTACAAATATTTGGCCTCATTTAGAATTATTTTAGAAAATTTTGAA